CACAGTTACTGTAACAAACGCAAATAAAAGTTTGTCTAATGTTAGGTTGACCGCTGAGGACCTTACGCTACTTACAAAACGGCTAAAGGGACCGAGATGAATTGTGTGTGGATTATGAATTGGGGTAGATTATGGTCAGGCGTAATACATAGGCTACTTTTTACCCTAGGAACGTGAGAGAAGCCGTTGGCATAAGCTAGTGTTGAAAAATTTTTTCAATAGTGAATTGATATTGGATACCTCCACATGGTCCGTCCATTGATGTTAGTGCTCAAAAAAGACCAAGACACCAGGCAAACGAAATGTATTACAAATTTTCAAATAAGCCCTGCCCAATGATGGTTCATTACAGCAATGGACGGTGAAATACGCAATAAGTTAGTTTGGGGACATTATTTAATGTATAATGAAATAAACAATAAATTGTTATCTGCTGCGATTGCCAATCATGTGTCCATTTTTTTCCTTATAAAAAATTAGCTTTGTCTTCTTCGTTTAATATTTCATTTAAAAATTTGTTAAACAGTAAGGTGGTGCTTTCGACGTTTTAAAGAGATGCCTATTTAGTTTGCAGCCCTGTGTTAAGACATTAAACCGTCTGGCTTTCAATTAACTGCTAGACAGTCTATCCTAAGATAGTGCTCCAACTCTGCAGGTCGAATAGCGAAAATAACAATTGAATTAGGACAACGTTAAGTGTTGCTAAAATTAGCACCTTGGTGACTTAAAAGCTGCAAGGTCTTTGTTACATTTAATTGATGGCATGCCTTGCTTATGACGTTATGACTTTTTAACGATCTCAAGTATGGCGTTCACTGTCTACATACAACTGTACATAAGCCTAAACAAAGAGAAAAAAACCAGTACCAAACAAACATAATCAGCGTTTATTAGCTAATTGAAGGGCCGACTCGACTTCATATTGCACTTATTACAATGAATCGCTTAATTGTTACTTACACGATATGAGTCCTTGGTGTGTGTTACAAGAAAGTTCTTGTGGGAATTCATGGATAGGAAAATTTAGAACTTGCTCTTCAACATGGATCCTAATAAACGTAACTTTACGGTATTATTTTAACAAATAACTTACATGGATGACTTGACTGACTAAAATAATGAATTGACTTTCAAATTAGTTCTTTCCCCCATGACTAAATTAATGTGTATCAAAGCCCGCGTGGTTTAGTATAATTTCAAAATTTCTCACAATTACATTTAAATATTCAGAATATTCATGAATGCACCTGACGCTAAATGCGGTCACATTTTTAGTACCGATTCGAGAATAATTAAAAAGGTGTTTTTGTTATGAACATGAATGAAATAGAACAAATGGAATGTTATTATTTGAGACTTGCGTCTATGAAATAGTTTTCATGTGATATACGTGATGTTATCTAACAGAGCGTCAATTAAGTATTCCTAGACATTTCTCAATGATAATCTTAATTGACCTATATCCAAGTTACGTATGATTATTTTACGCATTGACTGGCTGGCGTTTTGAATGACGTCCTAGTGTCCTACGTCAAAAGGGACGGTTATGTCGTACACAGGTCAACAATAATAATCTTATTCAAGTTAAATGCCAACTCTAAAACCATTAGTAACTATTTTATTCCTAAGCTGAACTTGTCTGAAATGAAAAGTCACACGTTGCAGTGGTCTAAACCAGACAACATTAGTTCTCTTTAAAAGTCAAATGAATAATAACAAGTCTGTGTATTACTAACAGGTCCGTTAAATAAATATTAGAACAGTTCACACATAAATTATAAAGTACCTGATTGCAAGTTTTACCTGACTTCCGATAGATGATTGTTCATTTCCGAACGCACCGCTACGCACCGAACCGCGGAGCACCGCGGCATGGCGCACTGAATTCCCTTACTACTCAAATTCAATGGACACACGTTGCCCACTTTACGGTTCACTTCTCTCCATTACAATAACTCTCATCATAAATATTTTAAGGTATTCTTGTTATTAGCTTATTTAAATCGGAAAAATAAATAATATCATGTTCTTGCAGGGTAAGAATCGTCTTCAATTCTACTTAACACCTTTATCGCTAAGGTCACCGGTAACCTATATTAGGAGGATTTACTTTCTAAACTTTTTAGGTGGTAGGAAGGTAGGCAGGTATTAAGGTACTAAGACCACACTGCATTGAATAAGAAAAATAAATAGACAGGCCATAGATCAAAATCTTGGTAACCGGCTAAATATTGCAAAACTGTTTCGTGCTCCATTCAACTCCATTGGTATGGTAGATGAAAGTTAGTTGCTTTCAGAAGGTTTTAGTCAAGATTTTTTTATTAGCTGATTTCAAAATTCAGTAAATGATAGAACAAAACGAATGAACTCTAAAATAGATCCGAGGGGAGCAGGCTGGCAACTAGAAGCTTCCTTCCTGCGTCCATCCGGCGTCGAGTCTCACGCGACCCTTGCGCATGCGCAGCTCGACAGCCGCACCATGCCACTGACCACGTAACACTCCATAACTACATCCCTTGCAGGATGAAGATTTACGTTAATCAAATTGAGATTGACCCCACTTGAAGCTTAGCTAAAAAATAACCACAACGTAGGTATTAACATGCTGGCGGGTTGTCAGCAACCCAATAGTTGTTAGTATATTGTTAAATATTGCACCATCGTAATAATTAACTACTTAACTAAGACAACAACGGCGCAGTAGACGACAAGACTACAAGTTTATTCATATCAACTGACAAAGCATTCTCTATTTGAATCCTTTATAACATTCATTTGCAAACACGGAATACCCAAATACCAATTTTAAAAACCATATTTTTCAGTAGAAGATAAGTACATAGTTAAAAACAGACTTGAAACTTATCTAACAAATCAACAAGAATACAATCGGATACATTAAGTTCAATAGGTAATAATTACTGAAGATTTACATTCTGTTAAGTAAGCAAAGTTGCCTGTAATGTAAAGGAAGAAGAAATTAGATTGTTTAGAAATAAGTAAGGGGAAGGGCGATGCATTCTGTCTGCCACACCTTACGACTTGACGAAAGATGTTGAGCAAAGCTTTGCAGTTCATTCAACGGTGTTGTGTTCAGATATAACCATTCCATTTCCATGCATTCATTTGCTCTGAAGGTGTAACACACACTTATTATCAGCTATTCTAAATCACCGATGAATTTTACTAAACTTATTAATTTTATGAACCAAGCCAGCAGACTAAGAAACTTCACATGTAGAGATAACTAAGGTTATGTCTGCATAATAGAGTCGTTAAAATGAATTATTCTATTATTATTGTATTTATATTAACTGCCATAAGTCACTATAGGATAGTTATTGAAATGGTAACAAATAATAATAAAATGGAAGCAAGTCAATTGAGTGACTTCGTTGGTTGAGGGGAGCGCCTATAAGTTCTACCCGCCCGCCTCCACTTGAACATTTTTTGCGATGCACAGGGGCGTAAATTGGACATAACTGATAATTTTGACATAAACCAGTAGTAACTGTCATGGTCACAAATGTATGCACCGTTTTATGTCAATTTTGTAACATTTTGTGATGGATGTATTCGGAAACTATATTACTTATTTTACAAGCAAAACAAATTATGGAAGTATTGAAAATTATAAATGCATGATTAAGACAATAGTTGAAAATAATTATACATAATATGATGTGCACTTAAAATGCGTTAATTGTAGATATAAATTAGACTATTTAAGCCAAACTTTGGCGGTGGTCTCTACATTAAATACTTAATTTAAATTATTTAGCAACAAAAGGACTAGGATAGTGCGCACGAACTTGTTTTGTCCATAGACACGGTCTAGCTAGCTTCAATGGGATTTAGTTAACAAATGCTCTTTTGTAATGTTCCTCTCTTTTCAGTTTACGTTGCGGCATAACAGCAGTATCTATAGTACCTAACTAAAACTGTTTCAAAAGTGTTACGTTGTAAAAATTCATAATCTTAATGTGTAACTTATCTCTGTTTTGGAACCAGTATTCATTAAATACCTTATATCTCAAAAGAGGTTATGGGTGAAACTGTGATTTAGTTATCGTATAGTAATTATAAACTTATTGTAAATTATTTTTATATTTTGACTGCGGTGACGTAAACCCAGAAGAACCTCAACAAACGAGAATAATAGCAGCAAATATCATATTAAATCAGAGACCATCACAATTTCCGTTGCGTAGCCGTAAAAACTGGGTTACCCAATACCAGGAGTACATAAATGTTTGTAGTATAAACAAAGTTACTTATCGGATCAGTAAATTTTACGATCGTTTGCGTAGTTATTGCCGATCAGTTTTGAAGCGTTACAATGTAAAACAATTAAATATGTGGGCGGTAAACAACTTCGTACAAAAATTACATAATTACTGGTGATAAGTTTAAGACAACTTTAAACTATTCTCTATTGATTACGTAATTAATAAAATCAGTTCCAGGGTGGAGAGCTGAGGTTTTCAAAGGACACAATATTACATAGGTTTGCATGTAATATCTTTATAATAATTACTTGACCATAAAAGAATGCAACTAATTAAATGACTAGGGTACGGACACAAATCCGCGGAGAAATATATATTTTTTTAATTTCAAATAAGGACACATTAATGTCTCTTAGATTAAAAGTACGGATAATCTACGCAGCTGTTTAGAATACATTATGGTAATATTTTGTTTAATTTTAGAGAAGTGTCTAGTTTGTACATTTAACGTTCGATCAAAATTTTCTTTTAGTCATAGAAGTTAGACATTTTTAGTAAGAGAATAATAAGAGCTTTTGTAGTAAGAGAATAATCTCGAAATGTTATCAATAAAAAGCCTTGCAAATATGTTGTGTGCTCTGCGAGATCAATTTATACCGTAAGCGAAAAATGTATAATGCTGAAGCCAATGAGCACCAACTGGCAACTGATAGCTGTTTTTGAAGTATGATGAGGTTCTGATTTAGTCCATTACAGTTTTAAAGGACTTACCTGTTGCACACTGCAATCAGATCCGCAACTCACGTCAAAGTGGTCGTTGCCGGTTCGGTTCTGTGAACATAATATATAAATATGGTTTAATTAAAAAATATATTTTTTTTATTTAATAGGGTCATCACGGGATGTTCGTCGAAGTCACAGTCCTGATAACTTCCGTTACGATGCGGTCGGTGCGAGTGCAACCGAGCGTGTTAGTCATTAGTCCTACCTGTGCCCGCTATTTAGGTGAGATTGATCTGTTTTATATATCATTAAAAAATATAGATGAGGTAATATTTATAGTTGGACGTTAGTATTTTTGCAATCTGGCAGTTAGGTGTTCCTTTTTCCGGCTGGATGTTGGTGTTGGTTCCAGGTATTTCTTAGCACATCTTTTGAGATCGAATACGACAGTTTTGGTGTGTGTTGAACTATCTATCGACTAACTAGAATTAATAACTACATCATTCATCATATCAGACGCAAGAGTTTTCCGAACATAGGGATTTAAAACTACATAGTACATACATAGGTACGTATTATAAAAAAGTTTTATAAAAAAAACCTAAAAAATTAATTACCTACTAGGATTTAGGGACCACATAGTTGATCTCTTGCGTGAACCATATTAAAATGGTTTGAAGTAACTTATAAAAGTATATTTTTATATCAACCTCTGTTTAAGTTTTTTGCAACCGTGGGACCGGATCATCGGACTTTGTTGGGGACACCTCAAAGGCTTCACATTCCGAAATGTGATCCATCCGCGGTTTTCGTGTTTTGGTTTTTTTCCCATGGGGTATAAATTTACCCCTACCAGTAACGTCAAATCTGCCTAGAATCGTTCAAATTACACCAAAGTACAAATCCTAAACGTATGGTTCAGCTTTGACTGTTTGTGCATTAAAGTGAAATAGGTAGGTAAATAGTATGTATGATTATACCCTGGCTATGTTTAAGAACAAACTTAAATAATACGAATTCCGTGCCTACATTGAATTACTACTTTGGATTATGTAAAACTTTGGTAATTTCTTAAAGCATTAACAATGTAGGAATTGTTTAGACAAGATATCAATAGTAATATCCCGAAAGAAAATGTGTAATTTATAAGTACCATGTATAAAAACTGATTTAAGTATTTATTTACGGAACTGCAGATCCACGCGTTTATGTACCCACATTTTCAATAGGTATACGTTGAAAAATAGCCGTTAGTTGATTGTAGAGCCAGACTCTGTAGACTAAGGCAATGAAAGAATGTAAAATTTTAATTTTGTATTTATTTTCCTGATTGATATAATATGGTAATAAATAAGGCTAATCCAGCAACAACTGACTCGCTTGACGTTTGGGTACGCTGATCTATATTTAGCGCGTTTGCGTTGATTATAGTGGTTCGCTAATTGTCGACAATTACTTAGATGTGCGTTGAACCTGCTCGGCAGCCGCCGCAAATAAACTACACAATAAACTAAGATCATCATTATATCACCAACCAATAAACTATTAATTGCAGTCTTTATCAATGAACGCATAAAGCGGAACGTGCATATTTATTATGTTTGTGTCATCTAATTATTGTAGTCGGTCAGATAATAATCCCTAGAAATAATATTTTTCGTGACATAGAAGTCTTGGAGATTTCTGAATTTCACAGGAGTTTTGCTAACCTGGAAAGGACATTTTTCATTGCATCGAGCCACGGCTTCCGCTCCAAATTTCTCGGTGATGGAACTGTAATCGCAGCCAATTGTGCGAGCGGACAAAGCCAATCCGAGCAGCGACAACACTAGCCATTTGTGCCAATTCAGCGGCGCGTTCATTGTTCCCGCCAACCACCGCCACCGTCGCTGTATTTACTCTTGCGCACCTTCATACGAATCACACATTTTTCTCCAATGTTATTTCTTAATACTACCGAATTCACTTTATTTATCATAAAAATATTTATTTATAAACAAGTCCATATTTAACACGTGTCTGATTTTAAAATTCTAGATAAACAGTAACAGTTTTGTTGCGCGGTGTCGACTACGCGTCGAGTTTGTAAATTCGAGTTGTGAAAGAGCGGCGAGGCTTGTATGTGGCGCGCACGCAGCTACAGCTACTCATGAACTGAGTCGCGCGCATCCGCCCACAAGCGCACGCGCTACGAGGACGAGGACGGTCCGGTGGCGGTTGGGCGCTACAACATCAAAACTGTAGCCCCCTACCTGTCGACAACCGCACTTGTTCCACCCAAATGTACTCACACATTCATTCAATGAATCGCAATGGAAATTTAGGACACTTTATTAGAGTTTTATTAATTAGGAATCAAGAAGACACGTATTACGTAGGGGTTTTGTTCATGTACAGTTATTTTGATATTTTAATAAAGCATTTTTATATTTTGCAGAGAATATTTGTTATGGCGAAAAAGATAACTCAATCGACTACGTAATATAAAATTCTATGTTAGAGCAGAAAATATTGTCGTGAATCCTATTGGACAGATCTGTAGAAATTGAATGTGTCATGCCACGACTTTCTAACTAGGTACTTTACTCTTGATTTTGGTGGTCACTCAGTTAACCTTGTTAATCTTAAAGTATGTTTTATAACGCCGTATATCAGCGCAAGGAGCAAGGCCGTCGAATGATACGAGAACTCTGCGCCATCCATGAAGAGTTCAATTAATTTAACTACTCTCCATGTATGACTTCCCACGCTTAGCAACATTCCATTCGTAAAAAGATTTTATTTATTTGAAATAGGTAGATTTCAATGTTATATCTAAAATATTTTATTTAACTTAAAAGTATAAAGCAAATAAAGTTAAGATAAGTCATTAAAATAAATATTCTAGTTAATTATCGAAATCCAAAGAAATGAAATAATTTTGCTGTTTTTTCGGTAGGTACATAATATAACCCAGGTATAGAAAGGATTCGTAGTAGTAGTGTGAAACTTTATTCAATGTTGCTAATACATCTTGTTTAGACTTCGGTAATAAGACTGCAGGAAAAAAATAACTGTTAGAACTCAGCTCTTTAATTCCGAAAATAACAGGCGATGTACTTGGTTTATTTTTTAAAAAGTTTCCATTAAATTGGTTGTGGTAAGTAATAATTATAATCCGTTCACATTTTAAATACGTTTAAAATTTGGCCAACGGCCGAAAATGGCAACCGATCTATAGAAATCGTCATTTTTACATAGTATTCAGATTTAACTGAATATACTCTCCTCATTACATAGTTTCATATTTAACTGAATTAAAATGGTTATCAATAATTTTAATGAAATTTCTATAAATTAATTGCAATAAGTCATTGCCCACTTTAATATTATAAGTAGGTCCGAGTATATCGTAGTACCTATCCCAAAATTACGATCAGCAAATGATATCTACAACGACAACAGGAAGTTTAAAATTTTCCGTATCTTAACTTGGATCTCCAAGTCTGAAATGCCCTAAAGATGGGTGACAATTTGGTTAGATGTTTAATGGTACTTAAAAATCTATGTAATATTCATGTTACAAAATAATTACCGGGAATATGTAGCGCCATCTGTATATTAACTGTATAAATACTAAAGTATGCAGTGACAGCATTAGTTATATTATCACTAAATTTATTGCCTAGATGTCGCTATTCAAGTACATTATACTATGTAGGGGGCGCTCGCGCAGTTACTATTTTGATCCTCAAGTGGTTCTGTAGATGGCGTTAGCAGTCTATCTTTAGATATGGTCATGCCTAAGGCTAACTTGTTAAATATCATGAACACTCATAATTTTTGTAGTGTCATGCATTATAAGCGTAGTAATGATAAGTTTACGTCACTTAGCTTTTTATACAATCTTCGGTCCACAAAATAAACTTAGACAAAAAATTGTTTTGACTAACAAAGATTTAGTAATCGCTATCTATAACTGAAATTAACTCTTTAATTTTTTTATATCTCTTGCAGTTGAAAGTATGTATTCTTGTACTTTCGAGGTCTAAATGACCATGAGAGAGGTCATATTACATTCTAAGTAAGTACATAATATATCTATTGCGCCAAAATATACGTAGATAATTTGAAAGTGCGTCGCGCTGCCCTTAAGTCTAATATAATATTCCCCCGGTTTTATTAAAGTACTTTATTCAAGTTAATTATAGGTAATATCGACGCAGAAAATCTTAAAGATACGACTATACCTAAGTAAATAGGTAATAACTGGATTATGTAAGCAAACTTAAAAACAGTCACATTATCTTCCATCGCTATCACTGTCATAAAATAATAAAAGGGGTAATATCGGCGTGGATAAACAATCTCTATAATTTATTGCAATACCAATACCCACCCAGCTAATAAACACGACACATTCATAAATGGCTGATAAGTATTTTTTTGGCATTAAAGTAAGTGGTGTTGTTGATATGTACGATCGTACAGACTTCTCAAGAACGACCGGAAATGCCTTTCAAAGAAATACATCACTGCAGCGGAATAACGTACGTCGATTGAAGAACGTTTGTGTCATAAAGAAAATTACATTTCCTGACAAGTACTTGGTTAGTAATTAAAATGAAATGGGGTTCATAGATCGCAATCTACACTTTGGAACGAACAAGGAAAGTTTTAAGGAAAAACAGCATTTTTTTTTATTATATCTTGAATTTATATGAAACGAAGAATTTATGATCTATCCCGGAAATCGGATTAAAAAATCTTTAACAAGTTTAATGCACGGGATTTTTGAAATAGCTTGCCTCAGATTTGATTAAGGATAGGATAGGCCTTGTCACAGCGGATGTCTTAGATTCTTCCTCTTATGTATTTCTTCTCCTTATTACTTATGTTCTAAGAGGAAGGCCCATAGGAAATACAGAGCACCGATGTGTAATATTGTATGAGTCAAGCAAGGAAAACAATAGACGATATTTTTTCTAATTTACTACTCCAATATAATTCTTTCATTTGCAGTTAGATCTTCGGACGTGTAGTTGCTGCGTAGCCCTAGCCACGAAGCTGTTTCATAGTTTGGGAAAATGTCGGACAATATCGCAAAGGTAAGTTAATTGTCTCTAGTTCTCTACCGATTTGAAAACTATTATTTAATAGCGATTATTTGTAGACAATGTAGTTGATAATGTTAAGCTATTTTGTTGTCTATTTCTTTAAGGATAAGGTTAGGTAAGGATTAAAGGTTTGTTTACATCCTTGGGAATAGGATTTTTTTGGACAGTTTTTCTTAAGTAACAATTTAATATTTTCAAAAGCCTTTTCGTCACTTTGTAGAAAACAACAAAACTAATACCATAATTCTCACGAGGCACGACACACATTAACTTTACAAATCACCTCCAGCTCTCTGCTTTCGTCCAAGAGTCGGAAAATGACATGATAATAACGATTATTATTTAAATAAACTATCAGTACGTTGTTAGTACGATCATGTAAATGGACGTGCAAAATAGATCAGTGATACATCGGACCTAACTGTTATTGCTATGCCTAAGTTTGGAACTTTGAACTTGTATATTACCATAAAATTATTTTTAAAGTAAACGATGGACCATTCGTGCTTTATTGTGATCATTACTCGGGAACAAGAGTTTTCACTGACGATTATTATTTAAATTCTTCTTTAGGAAAAAGTGTCGGTTGTAAATACTATTTGTCCTATGCGTTCGAAGTGTTCTGAGTCTCATCTTCCCACATCTAGTTTGGGTGAGCTCCAAGTTTCGTTATTTTGGTGCCAAAGTACGACCAGAGCAGTCATTGTTACCTAACCATAATAATACTTGCTTTTTTATTAATTTTCCCAAGATCATTACGGTCAAAACCCTTATTGATAAATATAAGTGAATTCGTGAATTGTTTTATAGATCACCAGCGGTGTTTTGATGGCCGTTGATAATTTTATAATGCATGCGTGTGTACTTTAATAAGTAGATGTAATTCCACCGCAATTCATTGGACGTAATTTAGATAAAGATTATACTGTGGTAAATGTCAAGATAAAGGATTTTATTGTGGAGCTTCATAGAAAAGACGTGTTGGAGAAATAGTTGACTTATTTCCATATTAACTGTGAGACCGAGTGCGTCGGTGAAAACTACTACAGCTGTCACGATCAGAAAAATGGCTACGGACTTGGTTGACTATAAGGTATTTAGATTAGTTCTATTGTGTATTATACCTTTTACGTAATTATTATAGGTTTATGTAGTGGAAGTTTTAAAAATACGTATGGGTACAAATCGCTCATTTTCCGTTACGTAACTCTCCACTCTATTAACTATCAAGTCGGTGATGTTTACGAAACGTGTTTATTAAGTGGTGGTTAGACTCGTTGTACTAGTTAGTAAGGTGACATTTGGTATTAACATCTATTTTCACTGCACTAGAATAGAAACTAATATGTATAATCTTAATATTAGCATAATTATCGAAATTTTACAGGTGACTAAACGATTGAGCGTATGCTAAATACAATTTAGAATAACAGAACAAATAAAAGGCGTACAGGTATTTAATTGATTTTTCACATTTTGAAATTACAAGAGAAAACGATTAAAAGCAATTGGATGTTGTTTTTTTTTCAATTCCATGATTATGATCTTAACGTGTAGATTTTAATTGACTTCATTTTGTTGACGGGTAATCCCTCAACATAAAATAAGGAAAATAGAGACGAATATGAAACACGTCGTACAATGAGTAACATATTATTAAATTAGCTATACCTACCTGCGTCTGTAGATATGACAGAATACTTAGGTACTTTTTGCCTTTAGCGCAATAATATGTATGTACGTATTGTAAGTACAAGGTAAATCAACAAATTAATAGGCGGGAAACACTAACGAAAGTAGTTTGTCCAAACTGTTACCTACTATATTTACTTAGATATATTAAGTACGTATTTGTCACTATTTATTTATATAGTCTCATGTTGTAAATCTTTATTAGTTATTCCTTTTCCGTATAATTTTAGTTACAGCTAAACTGATAGGCAAACATCAAAGGCAATACCAACTATAAAAAATAAATTAAGGACATTAACATACAATCTATTGAATAACTAAGTAAATCAATATTTGTCTAGCAAATTATCAATATTCTGAGAGTATCTAAGATCAAATGGTACAGGGTCCAGAGGTCAGTCAGTCACAATTATCGATTATTTTATTGTACCCAATAGCGATAAATGCTGTGTTGATGTTTAGGTACTCGTTTCTGTGACCCTTTGTATTGTTATCGCAGTTGATAGATAATCTATGTCTATCAGGGGATGTACAGCATTTGTTTGAAAGTGATAACATAAATTGATCCTTATTGTGGTAACAATAGTAGATACATTAAAAATAAAAAAAGTATTTTTCCGCTGCTTAAAATTACAGCGAAATATACTTTTCTGATACCATATCAGGAAACATTGCGCGCTGTGACGTTCTTGCGTTTATTTTATTAAACTGAACTGACGAAACTTGTGCAAGAATTGTTCAGTTTAGTACAATATTACACAAAATAGAGGGGTTTAAAGAGAATTTGTAGACGATATGATATGAAATGATAGTATGTTTATCGATGTGGTGTGGATAATTCGGTATGCTGCAGACGTGCGCCTTGTCACGCATTAAGTTACAGAACACTGCACAATCTTTGCGTGTGTTTGTATTTGGTTGCGAGTTGCATGGAAACTTGTACGTATGACTGCTTCCTCAACCTACATGTTAAGGGGCACGTCACCTCGTAGTTGACACACCCGTGAGGCCGTGGATATCGCGCGCCCAGACTTAATAACAAGCATCTCATCCGAAAATCCTGCTTTGAAAACTAAATATTATATAATCGAGGATCATTTAATTTTAAATTATAGATAGCCTAGTTAAATTGGTATTTATTTTGTGAAGTTTATGAAGTAAGTACCTACTTACTTAATACGACACTGATTTAATAAACGATAGAAAGAAGATAGTACCTATTCATGAAGCAAAAAAATCTGATTCTGACGCAATTATGACATAGGGACGTGAAGGGCATCACGTGAGCAATGTATTATAGCTGTATTGTATAGTTAGGAAGGAAGGGGGGGCGTACGCGAAATGACGTCACATTCGGCGCGCCGCGGTCGCCCGGTGCGGGGTGCGGGCGGCGTGTTGGAGGGTGTGGTGCACATGCGCCGCAGCCCGCGTCGTCTCAAGGTGACCCTCGACTCGCCAAGCAAGTTGTTCTGCGTGGCTCGCGGCACTGTACTCGGTTCCTTTCACTTCTATACGGCTTAGCGGTTACCAATACCGGTATTCACTAGAACGCGGATACGAATTTTATCTTGTGCCCAGTTTAATATATGCTAGCATCCTGTGGACTCCAACGTTACTCGTCCATCACTTTTTATCTCAGTCTTCGCGACTGACAAGACAAATCGATATGCGTCAAGCACGAGATGTTGTGAGTATTACAAATTCAAATATTTGCTCCGTAGAACTTTTTAGAATCAACACAAACAAAAAGATGTCCTAAACGTGAATGTTAGGTACGTATCTTAGGCACTTAGAAATACCTATAAGTAACAATGTTTAGAGTAGTCACAAACAAGAATAACATAATCGTTGTAAGTACCTAATGGTAATTTACCGCGTCGGCATTTATTTTCTAGTAATAAGATATGCAAGTACAAGCCCTTATCTTATAATAAGCAGTCTTAGTAGATAACCTAGTCCATTAATTATTTTAAGCAGATTTAGTGCATTTAATTTCTAAGTAATCCTGCTTAAAAATGCGTTGTAGGGATTTACCTGACCGGGTGTATGATGATAACCTTCACGGTATTTACCTCAAAGGAATACTACCTCTATAAACCACTTAACAGATAGGAAAAGCCTTTATGTCACGTTCATTATGGCAGTACGTCAGAGTTTAAGTCGTATAGGGTTTTTCTGTAGAATCTATCGATTAGGACATTATAGGTCAAATACATTTAGGTACGTAAGGTCGTAGGGCCTCTACTGCCTAATGTAAACTTAACTATTAATATGTAATGAAGACTAAAGTAATAGTTTCAAATAATTTAGATATGTTATTAGTTACTTTATTATTTATCTTTGTGGCAAAATAAAACAATTTATTAAAAGGGTTAATGACACTTAAAGTAAAAATAAGCGGTTATTAAACTACGTATTAATCGCAAGAATATAAAGTTTTGGAGACATTGGCATAATATTATATCAAAGTTTTCGGTAGAATTTAAAGGTTTTTATTAAATTAGTTAATGACTGTCAAATAGCTTATTTAATTAGCCTTATTACTTATGACTAGTTCGACAAGAATATGACTATCGAACAGTTTTTGTCTATAAGATTTTCTAAATTTTCCCATATTAATTTGAAAAATTAACACATTCAAAAATGCAAATTTAAGTAAGTACATAATGTCTATTTCGTCGCATCGTGGTCTTCATGTGTCGTGAATGTTGAACTCGATTTGTTTATAGAAAAGATTATCACATTCCATTAGCAAAGTTTTATCCAGATATAACTGGTTTCGGTCCGTAAATTGTGGTTTTTAAAACGATTATATTATCTACTCCTCACGAATACCAGTCGCAACAAACAAGGTTATTAAGATATTGAAAATAAATCTTAGAAAGGAAAATGAATGTGAAAATAACAATAGTTCCATCAATTTCTTTTATAAATATATATTTGGTACTCATTTGAGTCACGGATTTACTTTTGTTAATGGAAATTCTTTAATAATCATATGTTAATAAAATTGCGTATCTTATTATTAAATTGGTATGGTCACTTTATATGTTCTAAGTAAGTTGTACTTTTCATTTTATTGTCCTATGCAGGTTCTCCACATTTTTTTTTTCATGATCGTCCTCTCCGTTTCTATTACCAAGATTGATCAGTATTTTTATCAGTAACAGTATTTTTTCTAGTTATCACGCCTTCACGCGAATCTTTAACACGATCTTGGTTATATTCATTTCTCTTTATTATATTTATTTTTGTTTGATATTAAAAAATGAAATTTCGCTCTAAAATTTAATTAGGAACTTATCATTCGAAACTGCTTATTATATTTTATCATGGAGCTATGATCAATGAATCACTATAAATTGCTATCTAAAAGTGATACGGTACTTTATCGGGATACTCAGGCTGAAGTAGCAAGATAACACTGTCTGGCTAGCGGCGCACCCTGATTTATTTGTGTACAAGAATATTTGGGCAATTTAACAAAAATAAAGTCCAAAAATGCTATAATCGTTTAGGGATGTTCCACCCACGTGAGTCAAGTAAATGTATGTTAATGATTTTATTATCGCTTTTCATTGTTAGTATTTCCTTACGTCAAACGTAGTGGATTATATAGTTACTCGTGCTGCGTTGTCGTCACTGTAAACAACACTCGAATCTCAAAAATAAACAGACACAGTATGCCAAGAAAATTATTGAGCATGCGCTTCCCATGACGTGAACGGCCGTAAATTATTTATAGCTTTTCCTTAAATCAAAGATGTTGGTAATAAATTGATGTATTTACGGAATGATTACATAGCCTAAACAGAATAAAACTTTTTATCATTTTTATCCTATAAACTAGCCACTCTCGTGCGGTTTCGCTCGGTCTGCTCCTTTTGATCGCAGCGTGATGTTTGATAGCCTATAACTTTCCTCGATTAATGCACTATCCAACACAAAAATAATTACGCCAATCTCCAGAACCAGTAGTTCTGGAGATTGAGTGCACTGCTCAAGGGAACGTTCGCCCGCCACTTCTAATATTTTTAATTTCTTTTCCTCAACAAAATACTTAACTCGGTTTAGAAGGAAGTACCCAAGGAAAATACGAAGAAGTTTGGAATTTTGAGAATACAGAAAGACAGGAAAACCATTTATGAAATATAGTTAAACATACCCCTTTTTTTAAATAATAGAGTTGAAATTACTTCAATAGTAAATAGTCATATTATAAATTCTAATATAAAGATTGTGCTAAAGTAGTTACAACACAGTAAAAATTGTTATGCAAGAATTCGTTTTGTGAACATAAAATTTCAGAATACTTACGTGAACTTAACCGTCTTTTCGGTTAGTCACCAAATCACAATGATCACATTATAAGGGAGTGATATTTATATTCTTTGACAGATTAGTATTTTTCTATAAAATACCTATTGATAAAAAAACAAAGAACATTTTCATAGGGGAAACCAATTAGTTCCTACTAGTGGCATTGATTACCTAGGTTTAATTCTTAAATGTTTTCGATTTCAGTACTAGCAAAGGCCCTTAAAAATTTAGCATTTCAAGTGTTGTCGATTCGCACACCGCACTCGCCGCTTTGGCCACATCAACCTTTACTTTACACATGTGAAAAGGAAGTCACCACTACTCATGCAATGTTTAATGTGAATATCAAGGAATGCCATGACGTCAAGAGCGAGCCCACGCGCTAGCCAATCAGATTCGTACACTGAGAGGCACGCCTTAGGAAATACGATAAAATGCCTTTTCAAATGCCTAAAACAATACTAGTCTAAACGTTATGAAAATTAGCCTTTTACAAAAAAAGTCCTGACTAAATTTAATATAAGCTAAGGCTTTAATTTCTGTTTTCATGGATATAATATTATCTTTCCATACTATTCATACGCATACAAAATAAGTTGATGAAAAAGAGACAACAATAGTTTACTATCATGAATGAAAAAGACCGCGTATGTAAGCGCGTTCAATGCAGCAGTGCTGACGACGAGTCCGTTACTAGCTAGCTGGTTGTACGTATTCATCATTTTCTTGCGGCCCCGGCGAGACGTGTCGTACTTAAAATTATAAATCGCATAGCGTGTAGTTTTGTTTATTCCAATAAGTAAACAAGTGTTTAAAATGGGCGTGTTTAATTTACCAAAGAAGGTGAGTGAGAATATTTAAGTACTTAGTTCGATTACAAAATGTGCTATTTCAAAGCCGGCTTTGCATTGGAAAGCAACGGTAGTGTTGCAATGACCGCTTTGACCTTGTGAAACTCGCACGCGATAATGAACAACTTGTCCGTACGTCTACAAGTAGGTATTGCATATTTTATACCACACAAAAATATACAATTTATGTAATAGGAAAAAATATATAAAAATAACCTATACTTCAAATTGATAGGTTTGCCCATGATTACATGAAACATACGAGGAACGTCGAATAAAATATACACATACATAACACGTTCAATTAAAAGGACGTCTAAAGCATTGTTATAGTAAATTTTGAAGCTCAGATAATGTGTTTCGTCTGAATATTTTTAAGTAACGGTTGGCGAATATATTCGCACTGAAATCAGTAAAAGAAAACGTAATCGACATACAACAACCGGCTACAAGAACATCTAAATTTAGCACCTGTGTCGTCTGTCACACGTCACTTTGGAATAATGATATATTTTTATTGTCTTTTTTATTTTATAATGTTACGCCTGGTATTACCCGGATAAATATAAATTGGTACCTCCACTAACTATTTGTCAGTTATAAGTTCTAACATAATAAGGAAGCGAATCCATCCAAAATTCAAACTCGAATTTCTGCAAATTGAAATTGAAGTCCTCGTACTTAACACACCTAATTAGCATACTAGCTTATCTACATATTAAGTTTGCAATATTTTTTACAGATTCGCGAAGAATGCGAAGTTCTACACTTGACAGATAAACAGACCAAGGAGATTATGAGCAGACTCCACAATGATCTGGTCAAGGGACTTGGAAAAGAAACGCATGCCAATTCCATTGTTAAGTGCTGGATCACTTACATTCAAGATTTACCCAATGGAAAAGGTGTGTACATACACATTATGAATACGTTTTATAATTTCTTGGAAAGGACTCGTGCCTGTCGTTATAATTTACTCGACTGTTTGCATAATTTTCTTCATATTTTTTTTCAGAACGCGGTAAATTCCTCGCTCTGGATTTAGGAGGAACTAATTTCAGAGTATTAATTATAAACTTAGGAGCAAATCACTTTGATATGCAGTCCAAAATTTATGCTATTCCAAATCATATTATGACTGGTACAGGTGTCGCCTTATTTGATCACATAGCTGAATGTTTAGCTAACTTTATGAAGGTGGGTAATTGTAAATTTTACTTCTAGGGATACACAAGCAAATAAACTGGTTGTATTCTTATCTAATTGTTGTGATATTTTTTATTCTTACCAGGAGCATGACGTTTACGAAGAAAGACTAGCCCTCGGATTTACGTTTAGCTTCCCTCTTAAACAATTGGGACTCACAAAAGGAATTCTGCAGCGATGGACAAAAGGCTTTTCTTGTTCTGGCGTAGTAGGAGAGGATGTCGTTCAAGGTCTCAAGGATGCGATTGCTAGACGAGGGGTGAGTGCTTTTGAAACTTATTTACAATCACGTTACCATTGAGCAGATTATTGCGTACAATCCTTATCTACGTAATATGATCACTATTATACACCTGATGAAATAAAAAAGTGCTTAATGCAACATATAAGTTATTTCCCTTCAAATTGTGCATGAGTAGTGGTCCAAATTATGTAAAAACAGACATTTTACAGGACCTTTCCTTAACTGTGATGGGCATTCTTAATGATGCAACCGGCACTCTTATGTCGTGTGCACATAAGAATCCAAATTGCCGAATAGGGATTATAATTGGTGAGTTGATGATGATAACAGCTCTCTATTAGTGATATAAGGCATGATTATTATTGGAGTCAACATAAGAGAGCCAAGTAGAGGCTTTCAATATGAGAAACAGCTCAGTGGATATTGTAATCACTTTTGTCTTGGAAATAATTTCATATTTTTACATTCATTTAAAAAGATAATTTCATGACAAAATATTATTTCTAGCAATGTCTGTTGTTTCTTTATTTCTGTAAAGAACCCGAGACATTACTTCATGAATATTCTTTTCAAATGATAAATATTTAGGTATGGTTGGAACACGCTCATAATAATTTTCTCACATTTCATTAATCGGTGTAACATTTTTCGAGTCGACGATAAATTATTCATTATTTTCAGTAATCAGATTTCGCTATGTCATTTATTTTTCTGACCGCATTTATTTTTAAGAAAGGACAATATGAACGTGAGTTCAGTTCAGACTTAAAGTTCATATGGAACCTATAAGTAAACATTGGAAGCTAAGTTAGCAAAATGTTTTGCTACTCATCGTATTTAACAATCGGCTATTCAAAGATATGTAAACACATTATAATAATATGCCTACGATACCATTGTTATTTAAACGTGTACTTTTGTATCTATATTAACTACGTTTTCTGTTTAAAACTGATGATACAACAGGTGGACGATCAAGTAAACGATACGTCCACGAGTAAGTACCGAGTGCACTGGCATTAGCGTTATAATGGATTAATTTTATGCCAAGATAGTGTTTAATTATAAAACCGTTAAGTGGTCATAAACACACATAATCATTTTTATACACAACATCATTATCTAACGAGTTGACTCGCCTTCCTTGAAAGCCTCTACGAATCAATCATCTTCAACCTAAACAGGTGTATCTAGTAACCTTTCATGTCTGAAACTCCACTGTTTTCTATCTCACATCTAAAACGCATGTTTTCTCACTCTTGTAGGATGTTCAAATTGACATTTGCGCTATTCTGAATGATACAACGGGTACATTGATGTCATGCGCGTGGAAAAACCACAACTGCAAAATAGGACTCATCGTTGGTAGGTTTACCTTATTATTATTGTGTCGGTGTGGTGTGGCTGAAACTGGTGTTACGTGTTGATTATTTGCCAACGTTACATTAACCGTGGGATTTTTTAACCATAATTATTATTATGTTGAATGTACTAAATTGGACTTTACATGCCATTAATTCCATTTAAAGCGGGTCGAATCAATGAGAATACCTTATATTGGTTTGTTGGCATGTGGCATGGTGTGCGGATATAACTTATCTCTATGAACTAGGTGTGCTGTGTTTGTGCCACGCTCATCTAACAATATAACAACTAATTTTCACTAACCAAGTTTATGCTCGTCCTGATTATATTCTCAGGACACCGCCCGCTATAATACTTGCAAGTACGACGCCTGAGCACCATATTTATGTACTGGTTCAATTCCCAGTACACACAAGAAATATGATAAACACCACTTCGTAAACAAATAATATGTAACTAATATAATTTAATGAAACACTGAATAGTTTGTAATACACGTGAATAATAAAAAAAATTCTGTTATCTGTGTCGTAGCCTTTAGCTAATTTCTTTATTGTCTGTCTGACATAATATTATGATTTCTGTCTGGTGTAGTTGTTTATAAAATTACTTATTACTATAGGTACTGGAAGCAATGCTTGTTACGTAGAGAAGACAGAGAACTGTGAAATGTTTGATGGTGAGCCTGGAAAACCCGAACTTCTTATAAATACCGAGTGGGGTGCATTCGGAGACGATGGAGCACTGGACTTCGTCCGCACAGAGTTCGACCGCGAAGTCGATAACAATTCCATCAATAAAGGAAAACAAATGTAAGAACTCAACTATTAATTACTTGAACGTCCTTAAACGAAGTCTTTACTGTTAAACTTGACATTCTCAAGTATATTATTGATACCGTGTTATCTTTTTATGATGTTTACCTACACAAGTAGCTAACTATTACGCAGCTTACATGTTTTCCATATTAATAGAAGAAAATTTGTGATACATATTGGTCTGACAGGAAAATGATTATTTAAGAATTCGTCTAGCGATTATGAAACATAAATAATCGAAAGCAGATTCAAAAGTTGGAGATATCAAAATACAAATGTGGAGGTGGTATTATCTAGTTTTTGTGCTAAAATAATATTTATAATATTTTGTTAGAAATGCTAAAACATTTTTACACATACAATGTCAAGTTAATGAAATAATGATACCAATTGGATTTCGATTGATTATAAAAGTACATCGCAAAATGCAATTAGCAAGCAAGCCAAGCAAACACAAAAGCAATAAAAAGTAAGCAAGCAACCATTACCGTCGCAAAAAATGAAAGATTGAAAGAAATCCGGTTAAAACCAATTTAGCAACTTATCAAGTAAATTAGATAGCAGTGTAATGATAAAAGCGATAATGCGAAGCAGTATTATTAGTAAACAGCATAAAGCATGCTAGCATACATGAAGAATTTATAGCAGAAGTAACAAAAAGTTTAAAAAGAAAATTTTTAAACTACATGATTATAATATTTTGAACGAACAATAGCTAATTGTGCATTTCAGGACACCAAACATGAATAAAATAAAACAAAAAGCAACAAGTAGGTAAATATAAGGTCAATTTAGTGCAAAATCGTCAAAATTTGGTAATAAGGAAAACAGGTATTGAAAAACAGGCTTCGCTTAAAACTTTACAACCTTGTACGTAGACAAATCAGAATTAGTTTTATAAAATTAGACGAATAATGACTAGAGAAAAATAAAGACTTTATCACCGTCACGTGATAAATTTTAAAGGCGTTTACCGAGAAAACTGAAAATTGCATCAGCTACAGACCCGTGGTCACGCTACGTAACGATAACCACTGATATTAACTACTATATTTTCCTTCACAGCATCGACTTTATTTATTAACTTATGTTTCCCGTAGCGTTACTGTATAAGTATCAGTTAATAATGATATTTATTGTTATTACAGACAAGAGAAGATGATCTCTGGCATGTACATGGGAGAGTTGGTTCGCTTAGCGCTAGTAAAGTTCACAAAGATGGGACTACTGTTTGGAGGACGCGGCTCAGACCTGTTATTCCAGCGTGGAAGCTTCTACACCAAATACGTATCAGAAATCGAGTCCGATAAACCAGGAGACTTCACCAGTTGCATGGAAGTCCTGGAAGAACTTGGTTAGTAATACAAGCTATTTCCTAAGACTTTTAATCAAACATATCATAGAGGCATTTTAGAGGTTTCGGAAGTCGATTAAAATGCCTTGGTAAATATTAGTCGCACTTTCTCATTTTAATTAGGAGCATGAGCATAATTTGTTTATCTACTGTTCATATTTATAACGAGTAGGATTATCACTGATTTGTATTTATCATTTTGTTTACATAACACGCTGTTGGCACGTAAATTAAATCTTTTTCTGTTCATGGAAAAGTTTTTATCTGCATAAAAAATAATATAAAAACTATCTCTGTTAATTATATTTGCCAATTATGTATACCTAAATCTGCGGATATAATACTTTATCATATTTGTGAGACGCACAGCCAATAAGCTTTAAACTGTTGATGGATTTTACTTTGTAGCTAGCGAAAAGAAAATATGTATTTAAATAATATTCTAATCTATTTCACGTTTTGGTATTTTTCGGGAAGATTTACCTGTATCGCGACCTTGCAAAAATGTTATTATTCAAATCAAAAACTAGCAAAATATGAATTAGACTTGTTAAAGGTCAACGGAACCTTGAACGTCTATGATACTTTATGTTCGAGCGACGACATTAATATGGAATTAATTAATAACCGGATTCAGTATTAATCTTAATATCAACAAAAGATAATAATTATATTTAATTACCCAATATTGTTATCTTAAACCTCGCTTAAAATAAAATCTGAGGACAGTATTAAACGGTAAAGTTAAGATATTTGTTATAATATGTATGATATAATTGTTAATTGAATCAACGATGGAACTTTCATCTCAGTCTGTCATACTCGTGTCGAAACGGCTTATAACTTCTTATTTCAGTATTTGCTCATTATTTGATATTGATAACAAAACCGTAGCCATTAATTTCTAAATTGCATTGACTGTGAAGATATGAAGTCTAAACACAGCGTGACAATTATTATTAATGAGGAAATAACATCATGCCTGTTTTTCTCCAATTAGGCAGGCAGATAATAATATAACACTGTACCTTATAGTGTTTGAGCTTATTAGCTTGAACAAAAATGTTATATAATTTATTTTAAGCAATTTCCATACTTACCAGCATGAATTATGGCTGACATTTCCTTGAAATAATATCTCTAGCACCTGTATAAACCGCTATGGCCATGACTATGTTAATTAGTCTTATTTAGCAGTATTGACATGACAATGTCTGACAACTGATAGAAAGGCATCGTATAGAAACAATAGTTGTACGATAATTACTACTGTCGAACGTCATTATAATCATATCGACGTACATAATGTATATAGGTAGGTATCACACGTTAGCACGCGAAAAGCATTAGGTTGGGTACATTCATGTATGTACGTACATGTCGATAAATGACGTCCAATTTTCACTGAAGCCGATAACGAATGTGCTTCGTCAGAATTTGAACGCAACAAGAGGTTTATACACGTGATGAAAATAGCAGATTATTATTTATAAATCACCCGTCATACCAAGATGAAATTAATACTAATGTGGCTGTAGCTTATGTATTAGTTTTAGGTATATTGGCACAAGCAGTATCTGATTTAATAGTTTAGTTTTTTGGAGTGAACTTAGAACTGAAATCATACCCAGTGGCGTGTTCTTCCCGAGCGTATCGCGCGACTCAAAGAGCCATCAGACCACCACGGATGGGGTTCAATTAGGGCTGATGATACGGAGCCGCGAAAAACTTAACGGGTTACCGGGGCTCCAGCTCGAAGTGCAGGAGCAGGAACGGGGTGGTTTTTAGTCAGTAAAAGTCTGAAAAAATGGCGTGGTATTGAACACATTCATGTCGAACAGGGGATGGAAACGAACCGTCGGGTGATGGTGATAATATCTATTAATTTGTGGCATACCTTTATCTGCAGGTCTATCTCACGCGACGGAGGCTGACATGGCGGCAGTGCGCCACGTGTGCGAGTGCGTGTCGCGGCGCGCGGCGCACCTGGTGTCGGCCGGCATCGCCTGCCTGCTCAACAAGATGAACGAGCCCCGCGTCACCGTCGGCATCGACGGCTCCGTCTACCGTTTCCACCCTCATTTCCACACACTCATGTGCGAAAAGATCGCGCAACTTGTACGGCCTGGCATCCAGGTTTGTTACCTAATGATTATTAAAAGAATACAATATAAGACTTGATTAGAGGTGAGACTGGTGAGCATTAATTTTAATTGCGATTGACCAAAAATTACCAAAAGTTCAGTAGCCGTTTGGGTACGTACGTATATGGTCTGGCCTCAATTTTATACCGAAACTAATAATTCGTTTATAACTAATTATATTCGCTTCCGGCAAAGCTATTTGAAATTATCCTTATCTACGCAGACTTACGGAAAAATAACAAATAAGACCCTTTGAACCTGACTTACATTTGGTACTTTAATATCGGACATGCTGCCAAAACTTCTGATCTGACGATTTAGTTATTAGTTTCCATTGGATTGGAATCTAATCAAAACAAATAGAGACGTACGTCAGAGGCAAAGCATAGTCTAATTAAAAACAGTATCTCAACTTCCTAACTTCTCTGGTGTGGTTCTCGCGAGCACCTAAAACACGTAGTTAGCTATTTTTAATGCTTTAACTACTAAAAAATTTACTGATATGTCCGTACGTCATACAATAAGTTACCATTCTGAATTTGAACCTTATTTGTCAATTTTTAAGAATGGCGATCTCAAAGTGATCTATTTACATCTTTTCTTCGTAGTTCAGCCTATTTTGTACTATGTCTAATAGAAACGCTATCAGAAAATATCCGGGACGACCAACACCCACAATTCAACGAAATTTGCGTAAATAGAGCTTTACAGATAAAATCACTATCGCGTGTTAGTAATCAACAAAATTATGACGCGCTGTTGTATTTCTAGATTAGGTACTTTACTTTTTTATATACCGCGCAACGTTCAAACTCCAAACTGATAAATCGTATTATTGTACAATAATACATTGCTTGTGCTGATATTAGTGTCAAAAGGAGCACGTAATCATATAAATACAAACGACACACCCACTTTAACGACTTGATCTCTCGTCTATTTATGGTCTCACTATGTCTGAATAAGTTTCTGTTAGTCTTACGCCTGAATACTGAAAGGATACTCAATTTTAAGTTATAAATATCGTGCCATATCTGTCATTTTACAAAGAATTTGTAGCGACAAAACTATAGAAAGAAAGAAAAGAAAAAAAAGCATTTATTTGGTCGTAAGCACGCACACAAATATAAAAAAAATATAAATTTTAAAAAAAGAATACAGATAGGTACTTATATTGGTAATACAAAACAATAAAGAGTAATGACAAGAATAAAGAAACAACAATGTATAACAAAATAGTGGCAATACAAGAATAACAGAGAAATTAAATATTAATAAAACAAGATACAAATTACATTCAATAGCGCGTGCCGTTGCCAAAAGGGCCTCCATCTCAGCATTAAGTTGCGCCTAAATGTTATACTTAAGCGAGACTTAAAATTTAGTGGCGTTCGAGATTTTGGAGATAACTGACGCATGAAATGGCATGTTTTTCATAAGAAAAATCTCAAATAATGTACCAGTGAAGCAATCAGCAACTAACTAAATGAGACATTGCGAAATTGGCTCCTTTTGAAAGAGGACAGAAGCATCACACTCAAATACTTTCATCAAATTTCATCCATCAAATATATTATTTTACCAAACCAAAGAATATTATTTATAGTGTTTGTACCTACACGCTGTACCAAACAACACATCTTTGTCTTTATTTACTTAGCCATTACAAGACAAAAAAGACATTCAGAATAGTCGCACTGAACAATTTCATAATAATTGTAATAGACCTAAGTATAAGTAATGCCTGGTCGATAATAATCAATGTGAGATAACAGACCTTATTTTTTTAAAGTAATTATTCTTTCTTTACCTAAATACAATGATTAAAATCGTTTCTATATTCTGACACAATAGTTATAAATAAAAATGACCGAATGCTTTAGTATGTACTTGGGTGTTTTTTAAATTATAAGATTGTTAGGACACGACTCATCCACAACAAAATATTGGAAAATCCATTATGTAAGACATCCGTTGATGTATTAAATAAATAGGCAACCTGGGCCCAATGAAATCAAAATATGATAACCATGATAAGTAATTAATACAGCAATTTTTTCACAGTATTTCATAATGTTTTTACTTGATTATGTACGTTTGTCTCTAGGCTTGTATATATAGTTCCTAATGATCGATAATTTCCACTCCACCTGATCGAGTCGTGATTTGTCTCCGATAACGATGGAACAGACTATCACATCAGCAAACTCATTCCGATGACTACATCAAATGACTTAGCTTAAATTACACGCAGTCACTATTACCATGTGTATATGCTTTGAAAAGTCGTCCACTCCAAAGATATGAGTGGACAGTTATACCTACCTATATAAATCCAGTCATATAGTAGACTTAAGATATATTATCTATCTATTTTAAATCATTTATCTAAACATCCAAATCATAATTAGTGCTCACCAGTGGCCCCACTGATGGCTAGTTATTATTAAATTAAGTAATGTTTAATTGTGTTACAGTTTGACCTGATGCTGTCAGAAGACGGTAGTGGTCGTGGTGCCGCCCTAGTAGCTGCAGTGGCCTGCCGCCAGAGTGGCTCCGTCGCGTAGACAACATCTGCCTGCACCGCACACGGCGAACTCTCCGACGACACGCGTTCCCCGCGACAACGTAACTCTGAGCCTTCGCATGTAAGCCGCCTAAGCAAACAGACACTGCAGTGATTATCTCCTAAATACTAACAATATATTTTTAAAACAATATTTACACCTACGTGTACCTTCTATCTCTAAAAAGATTTTAACTGTTTTACAGTGTTATGTCATACCCACGATATAATTATATAACCGTTTAAAATATGGATCCAACTTGCGGTTAATTCAGTAAATTTAAATAAAATATATTAGGCCGTAGTTTTTAAAAACTCCAACGGCTTTCATGCATCTGCTCTCTGTTGGATTAAAAAAAATGTCGTTGCTAAAAAATATTTCTGTTCCAATCTTTTGGCACGTTAGACACTAAGATTCAATATTTCGCCGAATACGGGAATTTAATTTTACTTAATGCGATTCGTTATGTACTTATAATGACTTAAATCTAGTCATGGGATTAAGAGCTGGCCTTTATAAAGTTCTGTATTTATTATTTTTGTATATTTTATTAAGGCTCTTACACACCTAATTTTGAAATATGTAAAAGAATAAGACTGATGTATAGATGATAACATCATCGATATAATTAGTCTACAAAATTAAAATTGATCTTAGTGTCGATCGGAAAACCGCGATACCGAGCATTTCCTTGCCAGCATACTGTAATATGGCTCAGAATTCTTTTCAGTGACTTGTGTTAGCAATAAGTAGTTAGTGATATAGTTATGTATATTATATCGGAGAGATAGCTCTTATATTGTTAAGTAGGTATGTAATTTTATATACTAATAGCAACTGTTAATAAAATTAGAATGATGATATTAAAAATTACTTAAAAACTGAACACTAATTACGAAGTACTTCTTTAGATGCATTGTTTATTCATATATAGACATGTTTTATACATCGACGATGTCGACTGATGTATTTTCTATACATTTATCCGTAATTTTGTTATAATTCAAGTGCTGAGTACTTAAATGACACCATTATATAAGATTCTATTGAAGTTCTGGCTAGACTAACAAGGACCATTCACTATATTTGTAATGAACTACCTTTTGCCATTTAATGGGATTATCCTGATATTGATCATAAAATAGACAATTTACTTTTGATGTGAATCTCAAAATCTTCTTGGTAAATGGCAGTTAAAGGTCTAATTAATGCGCATTACTAATATGTACTATGGACGTACATAGTTACAGCACATTTTTAATAGCATCATTCCAGCGAGATGTTGTATAATAGCTATGAGAACTTTAAAAGATTGCCTAGCCAGTTTATGCAATGAAAATTAATTTTAATAGAGCTATATTAGATAATAAAATTAGATCAATGAAATTAAAGAAGTTGCTTAAGTGTTTTGATATTTTACTGTGATAGAACTAGGACTAGTTCAAGTATATTATTTTCTACAAATAGTTCAACCTTTTTTAACAATTAGCACTTCAAGCCGTTTGGGCGCCTATAATTTGGTCTGAATTGATTAAAATATGTAACAACATATTAAACCAACAGCAGTGTTATTCATAGTGTTCCAATAATAATCGGGTTCACGATTTCCCAACATACATAAAATGTTTAAATCAATAACGCCCAATCATAGTTCCTAGTTTCATTATATAGGTGCATTTTAATTTATGTATGATACGTTATGTGTTGTTACATGTGTGTGCTATCGTACTGTGACGAACACTCTTAGATTTATTTATAACTACTGCGTTATTTATTAATATCGGTGAATTAAGTATACAATTTTAGAATTTATTAAGTAGACACATCTTTTCTTTTAACAAAAAAGTAAGTACATTATTATTTAGTAGCACTAATGTATAATAACCTTGTCGTCATAACAACAGTTTTATTTTTCATAAAATTATGGATGAATATAAAGTACAAGAATATTTTTCATGTATTTTATTGATGTAATACAGGAATATGCGGTAATAAAATATGGTTGCAGTTTGCTATGCTCTATTAAACTGTCAAAGACCAAGCGGTCACCGGTGACCGCAACCTATTGTTCTATAATTGTGTCTGCAAAACCGGTACTCGACGAGTTAATTATAAACAATTCGGCAATGAATATAATAAAATACGTTTACTTCACATGCTTTGCTCAAACGGAAATTGTATATACAATATTATATTTATATAAATTACAGGAATCTAAGAAGTACCCTTTAGGTTTCTTGTTTCAAAATCGTAAGACCATTAATTAAAGGTATGGAAACTTTCTGCAATAATTAACAAAATGCCACATTCCATTGTATCTGGAGGGTCAAAAATTGTGTGTTGATTTTATTACTACCCGCAGAAAATGTACATATCAATAAGCCAAAAATATCGTATGGCGTACATATATTTATTTATGTTTAGAAATAGCTATGTATTTTGGATATTTCTTTATCAAAAAATATTGATTGTTATTATTATTACATGCTTATAGATATTTTTTGTAATAAGTTCAATTATGTTTGAACCTGTGTAAGGTGTAATCAAATTCATTATATACCTACACGCTAAAGTATAGGAGCCCCTAGAAATGTTATTATTTCAAAAATAAATTTGTATAAAACCTAATGTTGTTGTTTTGTTTAATATTTAGTGAAATATGTGTTTTCACAATTGACAATTATATGCTTATGTAAAATGCTTGGAAATATGGAAACTGAAAATGGTAATCCTTACTACAAGATCTAGGTTCTGGGAAATTTAACCTGACCATTACAACAGTATTTTAAATGTTAGTTAATTATTTAACCAATTGGTTAAATAGTGAATTACTTCACACAGTGTATATAGCCATCTATGTGATTTCATAGCATTAGCAACTTAAGGCCTACTCGCACACTTAGCAGCCTTGAACTCCTGGTTGCAATCGCCATAACAAACTTCTGATTGCATTTGTTAGCTGCGCGCCTTTTCGAGTAACGTTATTTAAAAAGAGTATAATAATTAGATTGTCATCTTTTTAAATTAACATTGCATCTTGCAAGTGACCTGTTTAACAAGATAAGTAAAATGGTTCCACAATCACATCCTTCACCGAGGAAATCACAAATGGCTGTCCTTTGGGTGCCATTACTGGCTGGTCAAACATTTCGGCCCCCGCAGCATTCCTTCATAACCTTATCATTATTTAACAATAATTAGTAAAGTGAAATAAAATCCAAAAATCAGAGGAATAATTTATCTTTCTCAATCTTAGAGGTGTGTGTAGTGAAGTGACATCTAGGACAGCAAAAACCGTGAAAGAAATAATTATAGGTAGGTACATCAATTAGTCATAATTTACGATTATATTAAAATAATGCAGTTAACTATTCACAATATTTAGTATTCTAATCAGTATTCAGATCTCATAAATAGAGAACAATTTAATTGTCTTCATCATACTTTTCACACTTACATAGGTAGTTACTTATTTTTAAATAATAACGATTAAAAAGTGAGACCGCAAATAAAACATAAGTGTTTATATGAATTTAGTATCTGCCTGCAGATCGTGCATTCTATGTAAACGAGATTAACAACACTTTATACATGACAGGCACAATCAGACGGATTTCTAGCAGGTTTCTTGGGAGTGCTAAGCCTCTTAGATGTGCCAGTACCATATTGTATGCCGGAACCTATCCTCTCAGGGTCTAATTCACCTGTCTCAATCTTAGCTAAAACGGTTTTAGAACATTTTAGGAAAGCTTCCTCTACATTTTCTCCTGTTTTAGCACTAGTCTCCAGGAACATCAATTCTGTAAAAAAATAAAGTCTATTGTCACAGATGTAAGGTTTCACAATGTATAATAGGATGACATATATTTTACAAAGTGTTGAAACTACTGTACGGATGCGGGAGGGAGTTACTTACCATTTTCTTGGGCGAACTGACTAGCTTCTGTGAATGTGACTTCTCTTGATTCTTCCATATCTTTTTTGTTCCCCACAAGTAAAATTACAATATTTGGACTAGCCAAAGTTCTAGCGTCTCGTAGCCAATTAGACAGAGCATTAAACGAGTCTCGCGATGTGATGTCGTATACGAGCAGGGCTCCTGCGGCACCTCGATAATAAGAGCGTGTGACTGAACGGAATCTTTCTTGGCCTGCCGTGTCCCATATCTGTAATTTAGTAGACTTTCCGCCTATGTTTACAATTTTTGAACCAAACTCGACTCCGATTGTGTGACATCTGTCTTCTTTAACTGTAAAAGAGATAATTATTTCAGCAACCACTTTTATTTCACGATAATGTTGTATAAGACCTCAAATTACTTCTGAACTACTCAATATCAGGACTTGCATATCAATATCTATGTTATATGTGGAAGAATAAAATATTCAGTACGTGCTCTCGTAATTGCTCTTTTAATTACGATAATCCCATACAACGCAATAGTACTGTTAGCAATTACCACAATTTCTTATGATGTCAAAATATTGCAAGTCCTGGAACTAGATTCTACTTATGTAAATTATAAACTAAATATCTATATTGTACTAATTAATGTTGGATGACAATGCTCTAGTATAAAATGTTGTAACTGTTCACTGTGTTTAGTAATCGGAAGGAAATTTTTATGTACCTAATAACATGTTACTTGATAATAAATTAATAAAATAAAACTAAAATAGATTAATTAGCTTTTATCCTTCTGAGGTTTTAAAATATTCATTTATTTCTACAATTATAAGATGAAGGCTTTGTTGTTTTGAACATGATAAATCATATCAATACTAAAAGACATATAAAAAGGTTAATAGCTTCATATTCTTACATATCTTACATTCCTTCAGACAAGTAAATACACATGCTTAACAATAAATAATTCATATTATCTATAACTAGACTACTAACTGTATGGATGATGACAGACCACCTCTTCAGAAGGAGGCCTTTGTTCAGCTGTGAATGTAATCTGCCTGATTATAACAATAATGATGAAACTACCAATACCAACATGACTAAAGAGAAAGGAACTTACTTTAATAGTGATTTATATGAAATATGAAACAGCTCAGAACAAAGTTGATACAATAATCAAGTTTATAAAAGGTCGAAAAAAATACCAGTGAAAATGAAAACATTTTCTATCATGCGTCTTGAACACAGTTCAAACTTTTTAAACTGTGTATAATTTTATTAACTTTTTAACATCTGCATAATAAGATGTATTTATTAGATAATTAGTTATACCTCAGCTGCCAGTAAGAGCATATGTATCCGTATACATTATATGATCATAATAGACGATCTTTCAGACAAGTTCACACCAAAATTCCCCTTTTGTCTTTCCCAATTGGAGACTTTTCCAATTAGTTTTTGTTGTAGGCAATAAGCACTTTACAAAAAGTGCTGTCATTTACACAATCCACTAATATGGTACAAATTTGTATTATCCATATAAAATAAATAATATGACTTTGAGACGACTGGTGTGCTAACGCTATAGGGACGCAGGCGCAGCTAAGCACTTCAAACCAAAGTGTTGACATTTTTATATGCCACATATGTTAAAATTTTCTGTGCCAAATATACTGTAGATGCAATATGTCAACTACTAACTAATTTTGCTCTAAGTCGAAAATGACTTTACCCTATCACTCGGATCCAGGAATGTAATGAAAAACAGTGGTCTATTTAAACTGTCAAACACCAAGCGGTCACCGGTGACCGCAACCTATTGTTCTATAATTGTGTCTACAAAACCGGTACTCGACGAGTTAAAGCTCAATAACAATAACATTTTTTATACAGACTGCCTTTGTGTTAGTTGTCGTCCGATAAAATAGGTTGAGGTATTTTTTTTTTTCATTTATTTGAGTAACATTATCAAGTGTAAATGATATGAAAGTAAAGTAGGTACAATGAGTTGTTGTTACTTTACAAACAATCATAATTGAAATTGCAAAATTTGTATCGACATCGAAAATATGGGTGTATAGTTTGCTACTCCTTTCTCGGATCATCACCTAGCTCACATATACTTATGTATAGATAATATTTCACTTACATTTGTTTCCAATGAAATTATTGAGAAGGCTCGATTTTCCCGTTCCAGCACTTCCAATTACTAAAAATTTAAACAAGTATTCTGAAACAAATAAAATTCATTGAATGTAAACAGTGTTATAAATGCAATTACTGTTTTACTTCCACATTCGCATATAACAACATGAATATGTACCGTAGGATTCAGACATCGTGTAAGTTCGTGAAAAAATGGACAATTAGATCACCAAACTGCCTTAACTTAAGTAAATAAACGAGCACGATCTTAAAAATTTACACTTTTTATGCTAAAATAAGATTCTGATCGGATTTTACGCGAAATTTTTGCTTTCACAACACAACATCCAGTGACAATGACAAGTCCGAGATGACAACACAATGACAATGAGATGACATTATTTGTTTTTTCAAGCCCTAGTTTTAGATATCACGATGGTGCCAAGTCTTTATGCCTGAAGTATCTCTGAAGGAATCTATGGGATCAAAATAGATTTACCTATTTTTACTTAAAAGCTTGAACAAAGTTTAAATAATAAAATTATCATTACTTATCCGCTTGTTAATAATGGTGACAAACTAATGTCTAGTTTTATAGAAAACCACTTTTCACAATCACAATCATCATCAACAGCCTATAAATGCCCACTGCTGAGTAAAACCTCTTCTCTCGCACGGTGAAGGTTTGAGCATTAATCACCACGCTTGCTCAATGATGATTTGGCGATTTCAAACTTATAATTAGAAATTATAAGTCCTGCAGCTGTAGCCAAATGCCATTTAGCACTTGTCTACATGTAGGATAAAATACGTAAATTTTGACACTTGTCAATGTCATTCCTACTTTCTACTCTCTCTGTTTAGACAAGCGCTAAAGTGGCGTTTGGCTAGATCAAGAGAAAATCCATACCGACTTCTATAGGCTCAGGTTTCCTCACGATGTTTTTCCTTCACCGTTTGTCACTCGGAAAAAGTCACATTGGTACCTACCTTGCCGTTGCTAGGTTTCGAACACGCAGTGCGGGTTCGAATTCGAATCAGGGTTGCCAACCGTACGAGGTTCCTCAACACAATCACAATCATTAACTGAATATAACTTAATTTAGTCAAAAAAAGACGATGAGAAAAACCACGGTGATTAAAGCTCTATCATCTTATCCGTAAGAGAAGAAGCTTTTGCTCAGCAATGAGCCAGTGGACACCCTGATGATCCCCTATACTTATTATACTCTTTGCCCTGATGATAAGGAGATGACCATCGTACCATCATATCATATCATTGGAGATCATAGAGATGATTGATCATGATGAACCATAGATTTATAAATATAACATGATGAACTGAAAAGGCAGCAAATCAAAATGACTTCTCTGACAGCCTGCTTGACTGCTTTGATCATTTGATTGATTTTGACATTGACAGTTCAAAAATCAACACAACAATAATATTGTAACCTTGTAAATGAAATTTTAGTGTATTTTTCATTACCGAAACCGATTAACAATATTCTTTGCTCTTTACCGGTCATGTTTTAGAATTAAATTTCAAAATTATTAAAATGCAGTGCTCGGTTCGTCATGTGGGTTATATTCCGAAATGATATATTGTTTTGTTAATGGTCGTTTAAGTACGTATGTTTTGCTTTTAGGTTTCCCGGAAAATTATTACTCCTAGGATATTAGTTCCGAGGAATAACCAAGTTAGAACTTTTTGGGAGTACGTAAATATGACGTTTAATAAACCAGATCCTGATCGAATTAAACAACTTGGCCCAGATCGTGCCTGCGCAGAATGGGTATTACGGAACGGTGGAAAAGTAGTATGGGAGAGCGGAAAGAAATTAGCTGATTACAACTTATTACCACCAGAGGAACAAGCGGTTCCAAAATTAGTAACAATTGATGGCACGGACTCTTCCATTTCACATTATGGCTTTCCCCATTTAAGTGTGTAATTCTTCAATAATAATTCTAATCATTCATAGGTTGACAACATTGGATGAGATGTTTTTTTCATACATAATGGAATGGTGTTTGGCCACCATCTCATCTGATGTCAACTTATTGGTAGTTCTCTTGGCTAAACTTTTCTTTATTAGAATATGTTTTTAGATTTATTTAACTCTAATACTTCATACTTGCTAGTGCAAATCAAGATAATATTGTCATTGAGTAAAATAACTATATTGATATTGAATTACTCTGCAGTTTAAACTGTCAAACACCAAGCCGTCACCGGTGACCGCAACCTATTGTTCTATAATGACGGTAATCTCAACGAGTTAAGTTATGACAATTTTTTTTATTTATAGTTGGATGTGAGAAGTTGAGCAACATAATCCTTCACAATGCAGACTACATTGACGACAGAGCCCTAAAGGGGCTGAGTTTTGGACAAAGTACATTAACACATCTTCAAGTATCCAAGTGTGTGAATGTCACAGATGCTGGATTGAAAAGCTTAATTTCACTTAATAAATTAGAACTTCTAGTTTTGTTCAATTTAGTAAGTGTTGAAAACATAGAAGAATGTAAGGAATATATTCGGAAACATCTGTCTAATTGCAAAATAAAAGATTTGAAAGGTAGGCTAGCTAATATTTGATTAACAGCTGTTGTACTTTTTTTACGATTATAACTGTAAGTACCTTGTTGCTTATTCTGCAACAAAATACATTTACTGTTTGTACCTTTTGTATTTTTTTTATTAATTTGTTTTCAGATGCAACACCTTCAAATGAAAAACCACAATAAAATCAAATATGTATAATTATATTATAAATATAGTGTGAAGATAAAATTGTATATTTTATTATCTTGAATAAAATTAAAACTAGTCAACTGTAAATACAAAGTTGTAATATTGAGGTAGTGTTTTTAAAATAAACTTTTACTAATTATTTTGTGACTCCTTTTCCAACAGCTTCATTAACATTTTTATAGCCATCCCGTTGCAAGAGTTCAGCTAATTCATTTTTTATTTTTGACACAACAGGTGGGCCGTGGTATATCAAAGCTGTGTATATCTGAACAGCACTTGCTCCTGCCAATATTTTATCATATGCATCTTGCCCAGTAAATACTCCTCCAACACCAATGATGGGAACTTTACCTGAAATTAAATTGATAAAGAGGTAGAAAATTCAGTTCCCATACAAAGTACTTAGAAAATGAGTAGACTCAAATAAGTCCAGTCAAAGCTGATCAGAATGTTATCATACCTTTAGTCAATTTGTACATTTGCTTAATCATTTCAGTAGATTTATTTGCTAGTGGTTTCCCACTCAACCCTCCAGATTCCTTTGAAAACTCTGTATTCTGGAGCTGGGGTCTTTCAATTGTAGTATTTGAGATTATCAAGCCATCAACTTTGCTTTCAGTTTGCAAAATTACTGATACAATCTCTTTCATTTCATCTTGAGTTAGATCTGGAGCAAGTTTTAAAAGCAGTGGAGGTTTATTATTTGAATTCATTGAGTTTCTTGCTTCATTAATTTTTTTCAGAAGTTGATACAGTTCCTCTTTTTTCTGTAATGATCTCAGGCCTGGAGTGTTCGGGCTGTAAAAATAAATACCTAATTAGTAACAATATAAAGTAAATTATAATGACAATAATCTTAAATGCATGTATATGTAGGTACCTGCTTATATTTATGACAAAATAGTCTGCTACATCTGAGAATTTCTGTATACCTAAAATATAATCCTCAATTGCATTTTCTGACAACTTATTTTTGCCTAAATTGATTCCCAATAATCCTTTATCCAACAATGCCTTTTCTAGCATTCCTATTTTCTTGTGAACTTGTTCATGCCCTTCACTATTGAAACCATATCTGTTAATAACTGCCTTATCTTCAGGTAAACGAAAAACTCTAGGCTTAGGATTCCCAGGTTGTGCTTTTGGTGTAACTGACCCAATTTCTACAATAGAAAATCCTAAGTTTCTTAAGCCTATTATAGCATCACCATGTTTGTCAAAACCTGCAGCAATTCCAATAGGATTACTCAGGTCATAATCGAGGAATTTTGTTTTCTGAAAATTCAATGTAAGTCTTTAATTTTTTGGTTATCGAAAATATCAATGAACATCTTTAGTTCATCTGTAATTATGTAAATATGGTCCTCGATTAGTGGGTACTTACTAATATTTGAGGATCATCACCTTTTTCTGAGGGAAAGATTCCATATTTTATAGCTTTAACTCCAAGATTATGAGCCAACTCTGGGCTAATATACTGGATAAGTGGTTGCAAAAAATTAACATAGTAATTGTTAAAATCTTTCGTGTAGTAAATTAACTGGTAAGCTACAGCTCCGCCAAAAGTTACAGTACATAAAGACTTGAGCTTGCTCTGGAAAAATACAAAACATATAAACATTTAATCAAAGATTTTTAAGTTTTACAACAACAAGTTATTAATACTCACAATTGCTTGTTTTTTGCTTGCCATTGTTGATAAATTATATAATAAATTACGATAGCAATGATATAAGGTTATATGAGGTTATAAAATCTTAAAATAAGCAGTCAATCATAATATTTTTGGTCTCCTCTCAAAAAGTATAAGTCTATTAACTGAGCCCTAGGGTCCCGTTCCAAAGAGTACCTCTTTGTGTCAAGGGGTATCAATAGCATTCAGTTCAGCTAACTGATTATAGGTAGGTAATATTCGTCCTAATCTGTCCTAATAATAAAATAAAATAGACAACAGTTCACACACACACACTGTCACTTATCCGTCTGTCAGTAACTGCCGAGCGAGAGCGACACAGGAGAGCGAGTGCAAAGATCCCCTATACTTATTAAGTTATTATACTCTTTGGTGCAAAGACTAGGTAGAAATGTACAATAATATAAATCAAAGAGTATAGTAAGTATTTTTTTTTTTTTTAAGGGGGGAAAATCATCGAATGACTGCCCCCGCCTGGGTGAGGCGGGAGGGAGTGTCGGACTCTTCCTGACTAAAAACCACCCCGTTCCTTCTCCTGCACGTCGAGCCGGAGCCCCGGTTACCCGTTAGGTTCTCCGCGACAGAGTATAGTAAGTATAGGTTTAAATGACCGAGTGCTTGTGCTGTGCTGGTGCTGACTGACTGACAGGAGTGACAGGACAGACAGATTGTCGTCACTGGTCAGTGGTCACTCAGTCTGTCACAATGACAAGTGTTCCCAAAGTAAGTTAAACTGATTATGGGGGGATAATGAATAATTTATTTCTCGAAATAAATTATTCATTTTGTATTTCTTTGCCAGTTTTGGTCTGTTTGGTTTTTGTGTTTCTCTTTTCTTACACACTAGGCTAAGCTATTATAGTTTGACAATTTCTTTAACATTGACAATTTATTTCTTTGAAAGATTTATACTTATAATCATGACATTTAAAAGTTAAATAATACAAGGCAAGGAATAAATATTTACCACTTATGTTACTTACTTTCTTTAACTAAATTGGGGACCGAAGACTTTTTTTTTTGTAGCTTTTATTGTTTTTTTTTTTTTGCTTAAGAGGTAAATATTTTCTAGAGTTGGTAACACGTACTATCTACGTCATTGCCAAGGCAAAGTGTAAAGTGTGTCAAGCAAGCAAGAATTGTCTGTCGCTGTCAACTGTCAGTGTCAGACAGTCTTATTCTTATCTCAACTTTTCTCATTTTCTGTCAGTTGTGTTGTGTGCGAAGTTGTGTGAAAGCGAAAGTCAATCGAATTTGTAATTTGTATTGCAAAGAGTTCTTGATTTTGGTCTATCGTGGCCACCTTTTACAATATTGCATCAATGTTTGATGCTTTTAATAAGGATTAGTGTATCTAGAAAATAATTCTTAGATTTTAATCAAAATGAAAGCTGCTCTAGTGTTTGACAGTGTTAATGATTTGGTGTTTGGAAAATGGGACGATGTTTTCATTGAGCGTATGAAGACGTTTAGTGTTCAGGTAAGTTGCAGTTACCTCTCTTGAATTTTTAATCACCTACCTATATTTTTCTTGTGTTCTTTCCCATTAAAATTTTCCACGTAGAACATATTTTTGCTGTTTCTAATTTATCGAGCTTATAAACAAGTTGCATGCCACTTTAAAATGAGAACCTGAGCCTACTTTATATAAGTACACAAAATTACTGACTAATTGTTTTTCAATTAAGTTGGAAATCAATGAGTTAATAAGACATCCTCACTTCAGCCTAGTCTTCAATGAGATTCTTTGTATATGTGCTTATAGTTCTTAAAAAAAAGTAGGTACAACATTGAATCATTACAACATAAACAAAGTGAGTAATACATAATTGTATCATACTTGAGAATCAATCGACTGCCTCGTTGGCCAAGTGGTTGCAAGTGCGACTGCCGGGCAAGGGGTCTCGTGTTTGATTCTTGGGTCGGGCAAAAGTGGGTGTTACATTGTACAGTGGCATAGTATGCACCTCTGCCTACCCCTTCGGGGATAAAAGGTATGATGTTATGAATGTATGTTATGTTGAGAATCAATCTTGTAATTTTTAACATGCTATTTGTGGCTTTTGTGACAAAACAAATTGTATACAGCTTATGGTGGCTGAAACTATAAACATCTGACTACAATAATATCTTCCACAGGAGAATCAGAATGATGTTACAGAGAACAATACAGTGTCTCAACTCCTGGCCCCTATAATAACATCCCAGAGAGTGATGGCTGCACAGTTTGGCAACACATACTCATCCATGCAATGTAAAGACAATACAACTATAGTATTCGATGAGGTAATCACTCATATATTTTTTTATGAATGCTTCTTACAGTAGCTGATCAGTAAGGGCTCTCAGTTTCTATACCTGGATTGGTAATATTATTATTGGTTTTTTGAACATTTTTAACAATAGCATGGGAGTTGAGAATTTTGCCAGATGTTTTGCAATGACAATAGGTTCATCCCCTATTTCATAGAACATTATGTTGGTATTGCAGTGTAATTTTTAACTTTCTGCCTATGCTTCAGGGATTAACAGGTGTGACATAGGATTAAAATATGTTTATATTACTATGGTAGTAATGGTATTGTATTGAACTAATCTATCAATATTGTCCTACAGTGGCTTGATCACGTGTTTGTGATAATCAGTGAAGACAATGTTGATGATGCTCACCGAGAACTGTTAGATTTCAAAACATTTGTTCAACACATTTGCGGCCAAAATATTAATCTGTGAGTCTTAAATACATTTGTAAATAATTATAATTAGCATAATATCACATACTTAAATATAGACTTGATTTGTTTAGTAGTCATTATTTTGAAACCTGTCAAACATGTATTACAACTTATCTATGTAACATTACAGACTGCATTCCTCAATATATCAAGATTGGCTCTCAGTTCTCTTGGAGAGTCGCACCAAAGGTGACACAATACCTGGTGCTAATGGTGTGATTGGAGAAAGTGGCGCCACTATGGCTGCTCTAAATGCCCTCAAAAGCGCTTCCAAAGACATCAAGCTACCGTACCAACACAGCCATTTAATGTTGTTTGTAGGGGACAAGCTTCTAGCTTTATATTCCAGGTAATAAAGCAGTAATAATTATGTTTTACTCACCATGACGTAACTCAACTAATTGTAAGCATCGCCAGGGTCCCATCGTCTTGTAAGGCACAAGTGACAACTAAGTCACATAGGTTGATCCCGCCGCATGTCTTAATTAACGTGCCTGGAAAAAATCCTTCCAAGGAATCCTTCATTCCTTTTTTCTGTAATGTGTGTGAAAACATTTCTTTTATCTTTTCCCGTTAATCTTTCAGTCGCGGGAGCGAAGACTTGTCACCGCC